CTGATCCCAGGCCAGTCCAGTCTCTCTTGCAACTCTCAAACCTAGTTTGGAGCAAATCAGTTCTATATGAAATTTATTTATTTATTTTTGTTAAAGGTTCTTTATTCTTGAGATCACATTGCCTGTGATTTTTCCTTTACATATTTTCAAAAATTAAATTTCTTTTTCCCCTCAGTGCTTTATTTCTCATAGGGTCTTGTTATGGGATGGGGAGCATTGTGATGGGATGCTCGGTTCTCGGGCCCAGATCTCTAAGATTAGAGACTCCTCCTGAGATACAAATGAAGCCACAGCTACCAGAGAAGTATGGGACAGAAAATTTAATAGTACACGTGGGAGAGGTGTGAGCAGAAGACCACCAGGTGGTGAATGCACCCAGAATGGAGTTAGGTGTTCCTTTCATTGTGGGATCCTGTCATGAATGTTTAGGAGGGGCGATCTGTCACGATAGCCAGCTCTGTTGCTTTTATCATGGGCTTTGGTTGTGCTTACACATTTCTTGCCTGGTAAAGAGAACTCAAGTACCCGGAAGGGAGAAGTCGGCACATGCCCAGCATGGACTTTGAAGGTATGAGCGGCCACACAGGCACGATTTTGCCCATACTGACTTGGCCTGCGGAGGAAGATGAACTCTTAGACAGGCGGCAGGGTGTCTCTGTGCAGATGAGTTGCCACAGGAGGGGAAGAAAGCTTCTTTCTTCAAGTCCTCTAAAAACGGTTTAGGCAGCAGAAGTCGGATAACCGCTCCCCCACAGGTCCCAGGGTCTGGCTGCAGCTGTCAGTGACGAGTGATGTCTCCGGTGCCTTTTCCATTCCCTGGAGTCTTGGCCTGACCCGCAGAGCGGTCTGACTACCTGGAACAGTCTCTATTCATGCACCAGTCACTTCTAGGACCTGTGCTCTTATTAATTTTTACATGTAAATTATTTTTCTCTCAGTCCTACTGTTTAGTACACAATATTTATTAGGTTCGTCTAAGTGATTAAAGGAAATTACTAATCCTTTTTTACTTGTCTAAAGGTGAGCCTAATTTTTAAGGATTTATTTATTGACTTTTTTTTCCATGAGAGGCATATATAGAAAGAGAGAAGGAGAGGCACCCCAATAGGGTCCTCATGGATGATTCACCCACATCATAGGCACACACACATGCCTGGCATGTATAGGGAGATCTGGGGTTGTGAACCCATGTGGGTCCAGTATCAAAGAATCTTGTATTATACCAATAATTTAATTTACCACTTACTGCCATGTATGTAAAGGATGTGAATTTACTAAACATAGTCAGTTTAATTACCACAACTTGAAAAATACTTTATTCACTGGTTATAAACTTTATATACATTAATTTCTTATATATACAGATTTTTTCACTACTACATATTAAATCACACAATTAATTACCTTGTACAGCCTTGTTGGATTTTATTTTCCATTTCAAAAGAAATTATAACCATATTATTTTACACGGCCATGGTCATGGTTGATTTCCTCAACTTTTGGCATCCTACCAATGACAAGTAGGACTTGAAAGGTTACTGTTAGAAGTCCTAGAAAATAGTTATAATCCTCCTGCCTTGTGTTTGGTGGAATAATTTGCCAGACGTTAATGAGAAGTTTTTGAGGAAATTCTATATTAGCAAGGGTCAGGTTAAACTTTTGAGCTGGCTAGCACTGGTTTCGTTTGTTTGCTTGTTTTGGTTTGTTTTATGTTTCTCAGGTTTGATGCCAAGCTACTTGGTATTTTTCTGTGTGTTTTCTAAGGACAGAGGTCACTTTGAAGCTGGTTGGGTCTCTGTTTAAAGAGACATCTAGGATCTGGAAAAGAATACGAGTTTGGCTTCTGGGGTCAGAAATGTCAGCATCCTGAAGTTGGGAGGTGGAATATTGTAACAGCATCCTGCACTAGCTAAAAAATGATGCGAGCTTGGACTCTACAATAATTGTATTTGTTTCACTTTTCCCCTCCATTCAGGAACTATCAAAACATTTTGCCCAGATGCAATATAATGAAAACATGTTTATTTCCTATTTACATTTTATTTTAACAAGAGAGTACTGGAAATGATGCAAGGCTTTTTGATTCTTTCAGGTTTCTTTAAAAATATTTTGGATTTTTCTGGTGCTGATCTAAATCTAAAAAGACCTAGAGTGTTTTAACCATCTGTCTAGTATTCTGAGCCAGTGTTTGCCTGAAAACAGTGAAAAAGATTTACATTAAACTTCAGAGTAGGGTGAATTTTGGAGGCAAATTGCTCCAAATCCTGGCAAACATAAAAACATTGGCACAAATTTATCTAAAGTCTCACTGAAGCAGATTTCTGTGTGTATTATTCTAATATTCTCAGTGTCAAAATTCAGACAAAAGAACTAAAATCCTACTACTTTCATATTTCACTCATTTATTTCATTATTACTATTATTGTTTAACATTTTGAACTTAAATAGTCTGTCCTTTAAATCTGAGGTTAAGAGCCATGAGTACTGAGTGAATTGTGTCAGTTTCCCTTAAAAAGTATTAAATATATGTTATCAGAACCTCAGACATTTCTTTCATACCAGAAAAGATGATGCTTGGTAAGAAGTAATTAAAAAAAAAAAAAAAAGAAAGAAAGAAAGCCCGAAGAAACCAAAGCAAAGATTTTCCTTAATTAGCTGTAGATTTTCCTTAGAAATGTCTTAGCAAATTCCACTAGTTTTCCTTAGCATGTGAAGGCCAGGAGTTTGGTTTTTAAAACTTGGGTAGTGGCTAACTGCACTAAATTTGAAGGCTAAACTTCACAGTCATATTCTATAATCGAGTGTGGCCACCTATGTCTAGAATATTAGTCACTGCTAGTCATATGTCATTCATATACTTAAGAAAATAATACCTGCTTTTACAAATTGGAATTTTTCTTGACATTTTTACATTCTAGAATAAACATTTAAAATTTTAAAGAATCAACACTTAAAACATTATATTCAAACAATTAGATAATAATAATACATTTGTTTATCTAAAACATGTACACAAGCCTCATAGACTTTATTGAACCCTCTGTGGCAATCTGTAATGACCAATGACCACTTATTTCAGTACTCAGTATTGAGTTAATTCTTTGAAGTCATTACATTCATTAAATGATTGTGTGAGTCTGCACACTCATACGTGTGTGTCTGTTTGTTAGTGTGATGGGAAGAAATTCAGCTCAAACACATATGATTAGATTGTTTAGAATTTCAACACTTTTTAACAATCGGATAATTTGGGTTTTGACTTCCAAGTGGGGGGACATTTGGGGAATCATTGCTGTGAAAGTAATAGACCATGATTTGTCATTGAGCAATTACTTTTATTCTGTTCTTTAAGCAAAAACAAAAAGATAAAAAACAAAGCAGTTCTACTATTGATGAAAGCATAACAATCAAGTAAAATGTTAGAAGTAATTATTTTAGAGTAATAACTCTTAAGAATCTGGATATTTCAAGGAGAAATTTGTACTATACGTCCACATTCTCACCCCTAAGAATGACAGAATTACTAACTCAGAAAAAGATGATTTGTAAGTACTGAGTTCTGGAAGATAAATTTTATAACCAAAGATTTTCTTTATTTTGTTTTACGACTCAGAAATGTATCAGTGTGTTTTTTTCTTGTAGTGGAATGGGTACTTTTTTCTTAGGACCATCACCTCTTTTCTTTCTGTCAAGTCTTCTGAATGATCTAAGGAGACAAAAGAAAGCACCTTTCTGTGTGGAGGGGTGTGTGTTGCACTCTCGCTCACCTGGTATTAGTTCACATTTCCAAACGATTATGCAGCCTTCATGGTGACTCACACCTTGCCTAATCTACCTGTACGTATAATGACTCTTTTCAACCATGTTTCCTTTTGTGACACTCATGACATTTTTTCCCCCTAGCGTTTGCATTCGAAATTATTTTCTGATATTTTCTCCTAGTCCATTTTAATTTTTCAGTAACGGGGGAAAAAGAGGACAGTATACAACTGATAAAGTTGATGTCTACTCTTAAACTTTTCCCTAAGGTTTCAGGGGAGAAACATTTTCCGCTGGAGCCAGGGGGTGTTTCTATCTGCCTTTATAACTGTGAATTACTGTCTTTACTTCTTGCCTAAAGTCTGGTAGCCAGTTTGAGAGATATATGAGATTTTTCTATTTCTTCATTAGAGTGCATTTTTAATGTTTTATAATTTACCTAATTTTAAAAAATATCTGTTAAAAATAAAGAGAGTCATGTGAATTTTATTTTCCTTTTAAGGTATAATTCTATTTCTTAGCTTGGCATTTTAAAATATATCGTGACCAAAAAGTTAATGATTATTTTTTGTTTTGAAGTCACTTTCTTAAACATAGTACTCAAGAGAATGACATGTATATCTGCCTAATGATTTGATTAGATTTCCCTTTCAGTGAAATGTCGTGGAGGAAAACTATAAAACTTTTTCTTCTGCAAAATGAGTTTTCTTGAACAAAGATTTTCATTACTCACTACTTTTGAGGTTAGTTTTCCATCATAGTAGTAGGAAAATGAGTCACTCTACTCATTTCCTTTTAATAGCTATAGATGAAAAAGTTCTATTTTCTATAGATTTTGTTACTCTTCACTCACAATATTGCATTTAATGATTCTTTAGTTTTTTTGAAAAAACTGTCATTTTATTGTCACAAACATACATTGCGATTTTTAAATAAAGACTGGACACTTTACAAGTATGTTTCAGATATATTTTGGCTTATTGTCTATAATAAATTAGAGTTTCAAAAGCATACATTTAAAAACATTTTGCTATAGGGTACATGCACTCACCAGAGGTGAGAGGGAAACGGGGAGAGGAGGAGGGAAAGCAAGAATGCATCCCACAGTGGGAATGGCCACCCCGCAATCCCTTCCCCTCTATTTTCCTGTCATGGGCAGTCCCCATGTTTTTCAAGCTGCTGGGTCTGGTGCTCAAACTGCAGACAGCCATATGGGATCCAGATGCCTTATCCACCACCCTCCTGGCTGGCTGGAAAGCACAAATTTAATGCCCATTTTATCTTCTTGGGGGAGGGAGGTGGATAGTATCTTTATAGTGTCTTTGTCACATTCATGTACTACCTTTTTCAATTTAAGCATAGCTGCCTAAAAATTACCTTCAGTTTCCACAGAGTATCTCTCTGCTGGAGGCTAGAGGCCTAGGTGTACTACCAGCCTCACACTGACCTTTCAGCCCAGGAAGTGGATTTAAGAGTATTCATCCACAGAGGCATAGGGCGAGCTTATGAAACTTGAAGTAGTGGAGGCAGATTTGGAATTCCTGCGGGAGCAGCCCCCTAAGCCTGGGTCTCCTGGTGTCCCTCTCTTCTTCCGGCTGGATTTGGCGTCGCTGTCACTGGGGTCGAAAACCACTGTCATGGACTCCATCCGGGTCACGGTGTACAGGCTGCTTTGCCGAGTTGGGTGAAATCTGGTGGTCTTGAGTTCTAGCTCATCGTAGCTGGAAATTTCAATAAAAGGGCACCAGCGAAATGCTCTCTTGAAGCCAGCTCGAAATCTAAGGGGAAGCAGTCCACAGAAAGAAAAAGCAGTGTTTCAAGCAGACATTTCCTTCAGGGGCCACAGAAAATCCTATGTAAGGCCAACTCAGCTTTCGAATTCAATTTTTCAAGTCAAAGCTCTTTGATTTTCTGACACAGTAGTCTTCTATGTTTTTGTTTGAATTGAATCTTAACTTCTTGTCAATGAGAAGCAAGTCATCAAATAGCAAAAGCACAGCGTCAGGTAATCAATATGCCAAAAAACCAGTGTGCTTTACAGTAATAATTTTATACATTTATATGAGTTTAATTGAAATACCCTAGCTGATTAAAGTACTTAAAAATGACATATTTCAAAATAGCTTCTTTCAGAAATAATTACACATTTATAAATGAGAGTCTCATTTATTGCTAGAATCCAACTGCTAATCTTGGTGGTTTTTATCTAATCATATATGAAAGTGTGAAATCCTCATCTTTGAAAACTATTAAGTGAAGTTCTATAAAAGCAGATGTTTTGCTTGTGGGGTGGCTTGAATTGAGGTATGGCTTATGTAATTAGTGGGAAAAAAGTGAGAATTATGTATTTAACATACTTACGGCATAGTGGTGGGATTCCTACTGGGAAGAGAGCTCAGAATTTAGCTCATGTGGTTTCGACCTATGCACAAAGCATCTTTGGTTTATTAAGGAACTTACCAACCCGTGAAATCTAACCCTATATGCTGATCATACAACCAAGGTGTTTTTATCTCGAAACCACATTTTAACCTTTTTTCTAGTCTTAAATGTGACTGTAGGGGCCAGCAGGTGGCATGACAATTAAGGCAGCTGGATTCTCACACGGTCTACCATGGCTCAAGTCCTGGACTCAGTGGCTTGAAACTCATGCTGGCCTCACGTATGTGCATGCTCAATATCCTGAGAGAACGGAGGAGAAGGGGTTGCAGCATGGCCATCCCCTAGGAGATGATTTCTCACTCTCCGCTCTCTGTATCTCTTTGTCTCTCTCCTCTCTGGCAAGCCCACTTGCCCTATGGCAAAACCTTAAAAGAAAAAGAAAAAGAACAACAGAGATTGTAAATTGCTACTTCTTTTTGTTGTTTTAACTTTACAAATGTCTTTCTCATGAGCACTTCGATTTCTTCACAAGACATACCCATGGAGCCTCCACCCACTTTTACTCAACCCATCTCATTTTGCAGGAAGGGGGATTGAACTTTTCTTTGTCCTTTCTGTGGCTTTTGCTACTCTTGCATCATCTTCTATTTGTACAATATATTCTTTTGAGTAGGGTCTACTTGCATATGCCACCCTCTCTCCATCATAGAAATTATCTATGGATTGCTAGGAAGTACTATTAATTCATTCAGGACTTCAGCCCATTTTCACTTCAGCTCCTTCAAGTATGAGGGCATTTCTTTTTTTATAGCTGGTAGCATCTTAAAGGACTTGGAGAATGAAGTTGGCCCAATATAAAAATTACCAAGTCAGAACCTCTAAAACCATTGTTTTAATATGTCATTGTTAACATGGAATACTTTACAAAGTACTGAGGAGTTTTTTTGGTTTTTTGTTTGTTTGTTTTTTATCATGCTCCATACTTTTTCTCTATAAACTTTAAAATTTCTCCTTCCTTCGGAATTGCACATTTTCACCTAGAAGCTGAAACAGCATGATGTGTTTCCAGCGAAGGCAAGAGTGACAGGGAACCTGCATTTGGTAGTGTTGTGTTTACCTCTTATTCAGACAGCAGTAGATGATAGGATTGTACATGGTTGAGCTCATGGCCAGCCAAAAGCTAGCCAGGTAGATCTGCTGGATGTATTTCCACCTATTCAGTTGTTGGTAGATTGCAGTGAGGATGAAGTAAATATGATAGGGCAGCCAGCAGATGGCAAATGTCACCACGACAATGATCATCATTTTGACAACCTAGAAAGAAAGAAAGAACTCATGTTAGGCAAATGTATGTCATTAAATATAACAGTTCCATTAGCTTGCTTCCAACATTATTTTCTGCTAATCTAGTTAAATACATAGTGTGCCTAAAGAAGAGGCAGTATATTAAAAAATGGCGAAGTAATATGGGGCAGTTGCCTCGCAAGTATCTTGGTGTCACTGTCCCATGTCTACTTACCCACATGGGCTGTGCTAATCCAAAATAAGCAAATATACAGATGATCCTTGGCTTAAAATGGGTTATGTCCTGATAGACTCGTTATAAGTTGAAAATATCTAAGTCAAAATATATCTAATATATCTAACTTATTGAACATCACATCTTACCTTAGCCCACCTTAAATGCACTCAGAACATTTACATTAAGCTAACGTTGGGAAAAACCATCTAATATAGAACCCATTTTACAATAAAGTGCTAACTACTGTACCAAAAAGTAAAAAACCAGAATTATCATGTAAGTACTTGAAGTATGATTTCTACTGAGTGCATATTGATTTCTAACCATCATAAAGTTGAACTATCATTGAGTCAAACCATCATAAGTCAGGAATGGTCTATATTGTAGTCAGCCTGAGGAAAGCAAGTGTATATAAAAACCTGGAGAGCTCCAGAAGGAAGTAGGATTTGGCGGTGCCAGGCTGCACCGTACAACAGCGGAGACGGTATATCCAGGGAAACTGATTATGAAGTCACATGGAGGTGAACTGGGCTGAAAGGGCTGGATTGATTCCTCAGTATTTATTATAGTGGGGCTATAGTTTAAAACTATTCATGTTACTTTAATACCAGGCTTACTAGACATCCTTCTGGATAATAATTTGGTTTCTTTTGTAATCTGATATTGAGGAAGGTTTTTCTGGATAGTGATTATGAATTTTTACAATAGTCTGAGAAAAGTCATTAACTTTATAAATAGGTAATTGGCTCATACAACTGGTTTTTATATCATCTCTTAGGAATTTGGGGAGCTTAGGTCATTTCCTTTGACTCCATTCTTTTAAATCATAATATTGTAGAAGGCTCTGGCTGAAGTAGACTGTCAATGAGGTCTTAAATTCCTGAAAGAGAGAATGTCTTAGTTATGTAACTATCTGCAGCCTTGAGTAGAGTTCCTGATATATGACTGCTTGGAAATACATAGCTACAGAATGAAGGAAGGAAGGATAATGTACAAGAGGTTGAGTAGGAGGTTTTTTGTTTTTTTTTTCATCTCTAAATTAATTAAAATCTGTTGAAGATATTTTGTAGTTTTATCAGAGTAATGTTCACCTGTTGATATATCCACTTTGTAAGACAAATAATAACGTGATTGAATGTATGGAAGAAAATGAAATGAAAAAAATTAATTAATTAATAAAAAATTAATTAAAATCTGTTCCACTGTCTGTGTCCATAAGAAAAGTTGAATCAAACTTACTGAGCAGCCAGGCTTTGTCTGTAAAAGGGAAGTAAAATAATATTCTCTGGGCAAGTGGTGTATAAGCATTCTGCGAGGCTGGCTCTACAGGAGAACAAACTAGATTCACATCCTGAGGCCGCTCTGAACACGGAAGGTGTGTGCTCATGTGCCCATGGTCTGGGCCGACTGAGTCTGAGGGTGGATTGCTGCATGAAGACCATGTTGGGAGTACCTGTCTCTACTTTTCCCTCTCTCTCTCTGAAGAAATAGATATTTTTAAAATAATCATATTCTCTGATTACTTTTTTACATATTTCTTGCCGATAATCTGTCTACTTAATTTGTTCATATCACTTTTGGGAATTAGGAAGTAGCAACAAATTCAGAATAAGATATAGTTAGCAAAATAATTCTGAGGTTATCTGTGATCAGAAGAGAACACAAATCAGAGAGAGGCCTGACATAATGGTCCATTATGAAGCATCTGAGAACTACGAGAATACATTACTTATGGACTGGACTTGTCATTTGACTGCAAGTTAGAGATTTGGATGAAGGTTGGCAGGGCTAAAAGTCATAAGAGACATGGTTCTAGAAATAGACAAAGCATGAAATGGATCAATGTGGAAGGCAGAACTTCCCTCGGGGTCTAATCACTGTCCCATCCAGGTGACTAGTATGAAGCTGATGGAAAATCGCCATCAGAGCTGAAAATCCAGGTCATTGGCTCACAGAATGTGAGCACCAGTGCCATACCTGATGAAGTCTCTCAATTCTTCCAGTGTTTTTCCAATTGCATTGTTTCCTTCTGATGACTGCATTTGTGTTTTTGCATTTTGTCTCTCATATTTATTATTCATGTTATTTGTGGGATATAAGTAAAGCCATATTTTAATTTGCATTTATGAATATTTAACTTACTTAATAACTCATTGTCTTTCAATTGTGTATTAGAAAACTGAGGCAGGAGATTTGACCATAGCACTAAGTTAGGATCTTTAAAATTCAGACTATTAAGTCTTTTATTCTTTTTCTGCTTATCGTGGAACACATTTTCTGAATATCCATTAGATATAGAAAACAACATTGGGAAATATAATAACAAAAGACTAATTCTTTACCCTGAAACTTATAATGCATTAAAAAAAAAGAAAAGATGCATATAAACTTAGTAAGTACAAAAAAGTACAAATAAAATTAAAATAATATTTATGAAAATGCACTTTGTTGTGATAAAAAATGACTCAATGCATGCCTGAGCAAGAAATCGCTTCTCATGGGGGATGGCCATGCCACAGTCCCTTCTCCTCTGTTCTCCTCTGAGGATTTTGGGCATGTATGCATGTGTGCCTGGTGTGAGTTTCAAGCCTCCAGGTCCAGGACTCAAACCTCAATCGGCCATGTGGGAGTCCAGCAACATAACCATTACACCATTTGCTGGTCCCAGCTTTGAAAATTTTAAAATACATAAGTAAAAGTGAATACAAAATGAAAGAATTTGAAAGATATGTAGGTAGTTAAGTAATGTCCAGAATTTTACTCAGTTACTAATTACTGATATAATTTGTTCTTCAAGTTAAAAGTAGGTATGTTTATATAAAATGGGCATGGCATTAACTGCTCTTGCCTCTTTCAAGGTGAACAAATTGAAGTCAAGAGAATACATATATAAAAAGATGTAACCACATATTGTTTTAGTTACATGAAAGCATTAAATTTCATTCTGGATAAATGTTAAGAGTAAGAAAAAAATTTTGTGAGAATGTGTACATGGTGTTTATTTGAATGCTTTTTACAAAGACTGACCATAAACTCTCTATGCGTAAAATTATTTTCCAGTAATATCTGGAAACCTAAGAAAGTTCTCAGAGTCTTGGTGACCTTCAACTCTGCACATAGAAAAAGTCAAGAAAAACATGGAACAAATAAAATGCAGAGATTTCAGATAACTTCTAACTCACATATATAGGCCTTTTCCAAACTTGTTGCAAAAGGATTAGAAATGTATTTGACAATTTTTAGGAAAAATTGAAATGATCCTAAAACACAAGGCTATCTTAAAGGAAAACTACTATATTTTATTTATTCATTTCTATAAAATGTGATTAATTTAGCTATCTTCTCACAAAGCCTTATAGAATTATTTCGAATGTCAAACTCTCAATACCCTAGTTTTGATGTAAATGCACAAGCAGGCTCTTGGTGGGAGAAATTGGCTTATTTGTGAAATGCTGAAATCACAAAACAGTAAGGAAAAGAACTCTGAAGCATAAAGCTTCTGTGATGACAGATGTGCAAATGCTGTGAGCAGTCCTCACTGTGTTGTGTGGCTGGGCATGGACAGGCTATGAATTCTAAGCAGCAAAGGGCCTCAGTTGGTAGATGTCCTAAGCTCTCAGATTTTCAGGCAGGATAAGAGTCTAGGATAGATTCAAATTTTTCATCATGCCTTAACAAACATTGTAATGTTATAGGAGGATTGATTGATGCTGGGTATTCCATGATAGTCACATGTATTCTGTGAAGTGTTACTCAGCTATAAGAAATAATGAGACCCTGTAGTCTGACTCAAAGTGGATGAACATAGAAGACAATGTTGAGCGAAGTCCGTCAGACTTTGAAAGAGACACACTGCAAATCCCCACTCAACTGGTACTAAATATCTGCACTCTATGGCAGAAATGGAAAGATCTGAAGATATGAGAGTAAAGAAGATAAATATAGAAAAAAATATTGATTGATGCTGGGCATATCATGAAGCTGAGAGATGTATCTTGCTTCTGAGAGAATGTAAGTTATTTTCTGTGGCAAATGGACATTGTGACTACTCATTCTTCTGGTGTCCAGGAACTTACTAGCTGGAGAAGGAAGAGGAGTGAAGAATCTCCTCACATGGGCAGGAGTGAGATGCATATTATATGCTAGTGAGAATAAGCTTTGGGTACGTTTCCTGTGTATATCAAAGGGAAAAAGATCTTTGATTTTTGTGTCTTGTGCAGGTTAGAATGAAATGCCTGCAGGTATTCTTATACATCACATTAAATTAGTATAGGATGGATGATTTTGAAGTTTAGGTCATGAAACAGTCAGAATGGGAAATTATATAAAATACTGCCAACCATTAGAAAATATCTAGAAGTCTTTAGTATAGGATTCATTCTCTATAAGTATCTGAAGTAGGAATGGTCACCTCTTTGTGAAAGGAAACTTCTCTTTTGATTAAAGTTTCCTCAGGTCGTATGTTTTAAGAATCATTCCATGGGCTACAATCTAGCATTTCTTTGTCTTTTCACAGATGTCCTCAAATACACCATTACATTTCTTTAAATGAATATTACAGGTTTCTTTCTTCTAGCCACAAATTAGCAAACAAATAATATTCTTGGGAGTAAGTTAGAGAAAATTTTTTTTGCCTTAGGGTGTGTGTACTCACCCTAAGGAGAGAGAGACAGAGACAGTGAGAGGGAAAGTGAGAACTCATCCCCCAGAGAGGGACGACCACGCTGTACTCCTTTCTCCATTCTCCTCCTGGAACCGTAGGCATGGACATACCTACACCTGGTGTGGTATT